GGCTGAGGAGCTCAAGGTTGGCAGGCAGTGTACTGGCTGTTGACTCCAATGAGTGACGAATCCAAGAGCTCCAGGCCAAATGGTGGATTGTTCCCTCACAGACAGTTGTAGGCAGAATCCCAATCCACAGGATGTCCATAAATATACTGGAAGCAGGTCACACACCCCTAGGGAAACTCCCTTTCAACTGATTGGCTGCTCAAAACATAGACATCTGATCCCATCATTGGAACAACCCACATCACAATTGCTTAAACCACAAAGAATTGTGGTGCAGCCAAGTTGACACACAGCTCCAACTATCATAGTCAGCAACACTTGGAAAACTTGTACACAAAATATGCTTAACTCATCTTTATGTTGGATAGCTCTTAAGTACTTTGCAGTGAGAAAATTACATTGGAAGAAAATCCATACAAATTTCAAATAAATTTCAAATAATCTTCTTGATAGTTTTTCTTTTTTGGCTGATTTTTAAAATTAGATCTGATAAGATAGTTGTTTCAACCGGCAACACACATGACATGAGCTGACTTATGTTCTTGCTCATCATTAGAATGAACTTCAGTGGATGTTTCTTGGCAGGAACCTTCTTGAGTCACTTGTTCATTTTGTAAGGCTTGATTGAGGTAACATCAGATAAGATCATCTATATGTCCACTTATCAGGGTACACACACTGCAGGATCATATACAACATGCTGAAAGCACATAGAAGAGTGAGTTCCACTGCCACCCTCTCTGGATGAGTCAGAAACAATATATACTTTCTTGGACTCTGGACATGTGACTAGCAGACCTGGTGACAGAATGAAGAAGACATTGGTGCCAATCCATATTTAAGTATTATAAAATCTTACTGTATTTTTTTAAACAAAAAATGTAAATAGAAGTTCTAAGGTTTTCTTTTGACATCAGTAAGTATTAACTTTTGCACACCAAATTTACGTGTGCACATAAGAGCATAATTATGGACTGTTCTCTTTGGGACAGGCAAACCACATGGCCACCTTCATGATACTTCTGGACTATACCCTTGTGCTGGACTTCTCTTCACACTCACCATCCTGTATCCATTTTCTATCTTGTATCCACCATCCACCTTGTATCTACCCTCCATCTATATATATATATATTTTTTTTTTTTTTTTTTAATGGTATTTTATTGAATTTTTGGTGAAAGTTTGCAACAAGAAGGTAGGTTCCCATTTGGCAATTTTCACACAAATTATTCAGTGACATTAGCTACATTTATCACAATGTGTCAACATTTGTGTTCTGTTTCATTTCTTAAGTCTCTTGTAGTCGTGTTTGTACTTTTCATCATAGAAATCTTTTATGTCACCTTCTCCAAGCTACCTATTCAGAATATCTTGCCTGTAAACACCTTGGCCAGATTAAACTTGTGTATGAACTCATAAACTTTATTTGCAATTCATGAGCTGGGAAGTGTTTGGCCTGGAAGTAAAACACGAGCTTCCAAGAGTGGTACCAAGAAGAAAAGTTTCACAAGCAAATACACAGGAGAAAGAAGGAAGCTATATGGGGCAATTTCATGTACTGGCTGGCGGGCATTTTCTTTCCTTATTTGGAAATTAAGAGGAAATTTTGAAGCAGGTTAAACAAAGCAGGCAAGTCCTAATTGGTTACCTTAGGTTCTGTTTCTGGGAGAGTCGAGCACTGACAATAGAGAATTAGTTAACATAAGAATACAAGAAAACCCACCTAAAAACTATTAGATCAAGAGAGTGTAATGTAGACAGAAAACCAATATGCTAAAACTATGTATTTCCTACTACTGGAGTTGTTGTTGTTGTTATGTGCCATCGAGTCGGCCCCGACTCATAGCGACCCCTCCTTGGGTTTCCTAGGCAGTATCACTACGGAAGTAGGATTGCCCAACCTTCCTTCCGAGGAGTGGCTGGTGGGTTTGAACCGCCAGCCTTCTGGTTAGCAGTCAAGTGCTTTAGCCACTATGCTACCAGAGCTCCTACTGGAGTAATAGTTTAGAATATGATGTGAAAACAAAAATCTATTTTAAGAAAGCATCTAGGACAATGTGAATAAATCAAAAAACATTTTTCTGCAGAGAACGAATAAATGTTGTAAGATGACTATTAATAGTTGTAAGGTGAAAGTGCTTTATATATCTGCAATAATTAAAAGTTTCCTCTAAAGTGAATTGAAATACTATTGAAAGTGAGAAAAAATACCCTAAATTGTCCATATTATAATTTTTAAAAAGCATAAAAATTCAGTAGAAAGTAAGTATTATTCAGAAAGTGGTGATGGAACAATTGGATTATAATTTGAAAAAATACACTGATTTCATATAGAAGGGCAAGTAAAAAGTCATGTCAATAACAAAATACTGTGATCATTATACTATCTAATGATGGAAAAAAATTATGTAACAAGTATTAAAAATAGTGACAAAGGAAAACCTAGTTTGACTACATTAAAAAAAATTAAAAAACGTGTAAAGACATAAACTCAAAGGAAAAAAAATGGGTAAATAGTTGTTGTACAGTACAATAAAGATTAATGTTCTAATATAAAAGGAACTTTTATAAACTTACAAAATAACATCTTCATTTCAACCACAAAGCAGCTATTTTAATAGGTGATAAGAAAGTAAATGCCACCTCAGCATGTCAGAAATTAGCACTGACAAAGGGATTGAACCAAGGACAAGGAAGAAATTATTATGTCAAAAAAGCAAAACAAAGTTATCATCAAAAGGTCAAAATGCAAAAAAAGGTGTATTTGATTGCATCAAACTGAATAGCCCCGACCTCATAAAGATGCCAAAGATTAAGAAAAAAAGTATTTTCAGCAATGAACAAAGCCTCTTTCAAAATGATAATGAACCTCCCTCGATGGTTATGAAAGTGCTTTATATATCTACAAAAATTGAAATAGTTTCCTCTAAAGTGAACTGAAATACTATTGGAAGTGAGGAAAAATACCCTAAATTGTCTATATTATGATACTTTATCATGATTTTTAAATAGCATAAAAATTCAGTAGAAAGTATTATTTGATATTTAAAGCAAAAGAGATATAGATGATTCATGTATCAGAAATACAAATGCACAATAAACAAAAAATTCAGCATTACCAAAATATTAAGGTAACAAAATGTAAAATTGTTAGTGATATAGTCAACGTACACAGTGCCTGCTGGAAATAAATGCATATTGGCACAATCTTGAAAATATTTTTCAAGAGTCTAAAAAAGTTTACACTATGACTCTGATTTAGCAGTGAAAATAATATATCAGTAGTATGTGAAAAATAAAGGAACCATGACAAAGCAGACTTTATCCTAAGGAAGTGAAAATGCAAAAAAATGGAAACATTTGATCTCATAAAAATTAACTGAATAGCCCTGCTCTTGTAAAATTCCAGAAGATTAAGGGGGGAAAAAAAAAGTCAGTCCAAGCAAATGCCAGCTACCTTTTATTTATTATATAAACAGATCCTATTAACTTGATATGAAAAACAAAGCAACTCTGGTAAGTATCACATGAGCAAGGGACACGAACATTAGATCAAAGAGGAAACACACTCAAAGATACACAAATATTCAATCGCATCAACAGTCAAGGAAATGATTGGGATGCATTTGTTTATTCAATACACAAAGTTAAGAGCAATTTCTACTTTCTATTTTCTAAATGTACTCAAATGTGCTATTTTTAGCAATAAAAAAAACTGAGTCATTTAAAAAACAAACAGTATGAGAACTTCTGCCAATGCAGAAATCATAAAAAGTATTAAAAAGAATCAACACTTGTATGGACAGTAAAATTCAGATCCCTGGAAGCCAATTCCTTTTGCCTTGGTTCCTGAGTTCTTTTATGGGATTGTCAATGTGTATACATACACATATGCACACACACATATCATATATATACACATATATATAATATGTAAGTATATAGTGTGGTATGTATATCTCACACAATGTGTTAGTCTCAGAAAGTACTTCTTTGTAATCACTCACTACAGAGGACTCCTTTTATTCCATCTAGATCCCATTAAGATCCCATGCTGTTCTCAATCAGACGGGAAGCCCCTTGGTATTGAAGAGTATGGAGATCTCCTTTAGCACTGCTTATAAGATAGCAGTATCCTACACTTTCTGTGGCTGGCTTCTTAGGGAATCTGAAGTTGGTCCTGTCCTTTAGACATGGCTGAAAGGACATTTTACTGATTGGCTGCAGAAGAGTGTATCTCCTGTTAGCTCAGATATAGCCTTGAGGAAGGTCACATACAGCTCTCAGGATGCATATGAGCTGGAGCAGCACCAGGGCAATCACCCAAAATCACAAAATAATCGTATGTAAGCTTGCTAAATTGGGAGAATGACCCCTCAAAATTCTTTACCTTTGTTCAGCATATTTCTTTTGCTTTTTCCATTTCCTAAGTTTTACTGAACAAAAAGTAGAAAACAGTGAAAACCTAAATTTAGTAAGTAAAAACAATTCTTTGAAACTCAAACTGTGCTCAACAACCTGAATAAAAGCAACTCTACATAAAACAATATACAAGTTACTTCAACAGCAAAGCAGAAAAGTAATGTTAAGTTTCGTGTGATGTAACAATTTAGTCAAACGACAAATTTGGTCTTCAATTTAATGTGTTGTAGTCCTTATCTAAATTTCAGTATGACTATACAGATATCTGGGAGCTCTGGTAGCATAGTGCCTAAGGCTAACCAGAAGGCTGGCGGTTCAAACCCACCAGCCACTCCTCAAAAGGAAGATGGGGCAATCTACTTCCACAGTGATACCGCCTCAGAAGCCCAAGGAGGGGTCGCCAAGTAAGATCCGACTTGACGGCAGTGTGTTGGTTCGTTTGTTCCTTATACAAATATTTATTTTTGAGAACTGATTTCACATTAGAATAGAAATAGCTTATCTGTGGGGAAAAATTTAAATGTAAAAACCATTTAACATGAAGTGCAAATGAATTTAAAAATTATGTGTGCGTGTTCTCTCTCTAGAGAAAGAGATCTCAAACCCTGACTTAGGGCTTTCCTGTTTTTTTCAGTCTCTGAATTTATTATTTATCATGTCTTCCTAAGAAATGTCACAGTCTGAATTCAATCTGGTCAGAGTTGACAGATATGTCAAAAACTCTACAGAAAGAGGGAGGTAGCTAATAATATTTAACAACCTTTTGTTTTTCTGTTTTACGTTGCAACAGCCTCCCTTTGACGTTTTGTAGTCAAAAATGAAAACTTTCAGCTGTGAAGCATAATTATATCTACTACAGTCCCCTCCAATTAACTTACACACCACCACATGAAGACATCTAATTTAAACATTTTCTACACATCTTTTCTCATTTAAAACAGCTGGCTATGTGGAATACATTTTCAGAATGCATGTTAGCCATCTGATAAACATACTAAGCCAAACAACACAAATGACATCAGTTATCTTTTTATCTAGTAACTATACCAATCATTTTAAGAAAAGATAAATTGAAGGAAAAGTATGAGATCATCCATGATGCACTGCAAAGATATTATTATACCTTAGTCCTAGGAATGATCTGAAGGTGCTGAAAGAGGAGATTCTCTAGAAGGTGATCCAGGGTGTTCTTCAGGTGGAAAAACTGTGAGGGTACAAGCTCGAATACCACCAAGTGACTCTGGAAGGTCAAAAACTTTGTGCCACTCATCTTTTTCTGGGTCATATTTCTGGACAATTTCTACCATACAACGGTTATTCCAAGAATACCCACCAACAACATAGATTTTATTTTCAAAGACGGCAACTCCAACATCACTCTGACCTCTTAACATAGCAGCAATTGGTGTCCACTGGTCAAGAGTTGGTGAATAGTATTCACAGCTCAGAACATCATCATAATCACTTGTTCCCCTGAAGTGATTGCCACCAATGACATAGAGTTTGTCTCCAACTGTACACATGCAATGCAGACCTCTGACTGTAGTCATTGGAGCTTTCTGTGTCCACTTGTCTGTATCTGGGTCAAAGCACATGAGCTCATTTTGGAAAGTATCATGGGTAATTCCTCCTGAAATATACATTAAGCCGCCATACACCGTTCCAGCATGGCCATAGTGGGGTTCACTCATTTTTGCAACATAACTCCATTCATTCATCCTCGGGTTGTAACATTCTACTGTGGCCAATTCACCAGCTGCACTGCGCCCACCAACTGCATACAAATGTCCTTTGAGGGCACTCAAGTGGAAGAATGTGCGCTTTTCATTTAATGATGCAACTTGCATCCATTTATTACACCGAGGATCAAATCTAAAGACTGTATCAACAGCAGTTTTTCCTTTTGTATCGTAATTACTTTGACCACCAACTACATAAAGAAAGTTTCCAATGACAGCAATACCATGCTGGTAACGAGGAGCATCCATGGGGGCTAAAGATTTCCACTCTTGGGCCCTTTCATCATACATTCTTAATTCTTTACTGACAACCAGCTGCTGCCTCAAAACTCCTCCTAATGTAACCAAATGAGTCGAGTCAGATCGAATGGCAGTCCTGTCTGACTGCATCACTGGCTGCATATATGGCATCATCTGGTAATTGCTAGCTTCCAAAAGCAAATTCACACAGGTATTGTCTGTTCTCATGAAATCTACAGTCTGCACATAATTGATGAGATCCTGTGGTGTCATCAGTGGAAATCGAATGTTCTTCATTAATTTTGCAGCATAATCCATCCGAGGATCTTCCAACCTTAGCCAGCGGCAGGCAGCCTTGAAGAGTTCAAGTTCAGTACAGTGCTTAAGACTATTACTAGAAAGCACAAAGGCAAGCCGCTCAAAAGGGAGTTTTAGGAACTCTCCAGTACTCAACAATGCAGGAAAATTCTTCAGGATGAAATTGTTAACATATTTATCCACTTCTATAAGATTATAGGTGTTTGCAATCCGTCCAACCTCAACACAGTTATCTAAAGAGACCCCCGATATAAGAAATACTTTACAGAAGTCCAAAACAGGTAAAATCTGTAAAAAGCTGGCAGCTTCAAGTGTGTCTTGAAGATTGTCCATATTGAGAGAAAGTTTTGCAGTATAAATAAAATCAATGATTTTCTTCAGACCAACCTTGTTCACCCCATGAAGCTTAATGCACATTAAATCTTGTTCTTTCATTCCACCTGTGAACATCGCTTTGAAATAATCACTAGCAGAAGCCATCATAGCTCTGTGAACAGGGAAGATTTCATCTCCATCACCTGGTACCAGAGTCACATCGCAAAGTAATCCTTCTATCCTAAGCTGATCAAAACCTTGCAATACCACTGAACTATGGGTATTGCTGGTAAAAAAACGCGTGGTTCCTGCCTTGCAAGGCTGCAGATGGGCAGACACGCCCATTTCACCGTTACCAAGAGACACTTTCATGTGCAAACCGTCCTCTGGCACAGAAAGATGTATGCTGGAGAAAGAAGTTAATAAACTGAACGTTTTAAAGGGAACAAGGGCATCCAGAGGGCCAACGAGCTCGTTTTCCTTAACAAGGGCAAGCAGTCACTGTGGTACCCCTCAGGGCACACAGTCAGTCATCTACTAAAGACTGTTCTGTAGGACCACAAAGGGATGTGGACCTCAAATCTGATTATTATGCAGATGAGTCATCACCTGACGGCAATAAAATGACCCGGTTCACCTCGTCCGGCCTGCGCTGCTGCTCCTTCACAGTTCCGCTCCAGGCCAACGGGGAGGCGCCGCCACGTATTGCAGTTCCGCGGCGAGGCCGGGCACCCCGGCGAGCGGCCCGCTGCGCCCTCCGCTGTCACCAACGTGTCGCCGCGGTCACGGGACTGTCTCCGAGTAGGGGCTTGAAACACAGGCCTGGGCCTGGGCCTGTAACACGGACCTACCCCTGGACGCCGAGCCAGTCCTTCCGGAAAGGCCGAATCCCAGGATCCCCCGGGCTAGGAGCGGCCGAGACAGCTACCGCGGCTGCGCGCCCGCCTGACCTCATCGGTGGGCGGGCGTGCGGAAGAGAGGGGAAGAGAGCGGGATGTGAGAGGGGAGGGGGCGGGGATTGGGGAAGGGAGGCGCGGGGGGGGGAGGCAGCGGGGCGTTAGGGTCAGAGACGTTTGTGGGACTAATAGGCTAGAAGAAGTGCACGTTTATCATGCTATATTTGGTATAAATATTTTTGTGGTGTCTGAGCTCTTCTCCAAAATGCATACTTTTCTTTAAGGTTTACATTTCTTGGCCTCTGACTTTCGAATTACAGTGAAACGGGGCTAGTGTTTAAGTTGAGAGGAAACCTGGCAGAGGAGGGGATGAGAGAAAGTTACTTTAAACTTTTTCTCTGTAATAACAACTTTATAATTTTTTTCCCACACAATTTAACAGACACCTCAATTATAATTTTAATTCATGCTTTCAAATTCTGTATTATTTAAAACGTCTTTTTTTTTTTTTTTAGGATTTGGGTGAAGATTTACAGAGTAAATTCACTTTTCATACAGCAGTTCACATATACTTTGTCTCATG